TCACGGCTGACTTCCTTACTTCTGTACTATCAGCAGCCTGTAACCCTTCGATGTAACCTTTGGACCCAGTGGTTTTCCAAATTTACAGGAAGCTTGAAGTGCCTCCAATAAATACAACCCAAGACAGATTGTTCTTGGTAAGTAGTAAGTTCTTGGAATGGAGAAGATGCTCTATGCCCTTAATACCCAAATTATGTTCTAACACAACCAGTATTTCTTCTGGAATAAACATATTTGACCACACGATCACCAAGATAGAAAAATTTTGATGGTTTCCCCTGTCACTCTCCCTAGCAGCCATAATGATGCCTTGTAATATCTGCTGTGTTTCCCAGCTCACTGTAGAACCCTCAATGAAAATCATTCTTAGTCAACTTGTTAGTCTTCATCAGCATATCAATAAATTACATCAGACCAGGTAAGTCCAATATATTGGACATGGCTGATCACAACCACAGATTCACAGAGGTTTCTGAACTGACTTTCCGGTAAGCTCAAGCAAAAATAGTGAACTCATTAAGAATTTACTGTGAAAAACTTGGTGCATACAAAATCAACTTGCTTCACAAAAATATACTTCTGCACAAGCACTAAAAGGTTTAAAAAACAAACAAACAAACAAACATGTGCTGCAGTCTCTGGGATCTGATGGATTTTCCAAAATTCCAGTGGAATCGTCTTTTAAAACAAAATGGAATTTTGCACTTAGGGAGACAAGTACAAAAAACCACACTCACATGCTAATCTGTTAAATACATCCTAAGCCTTTGTCATTTTCATACAGTAAAACTGTAATGCAGAACACATCTCATAATACACTGAAGTAAATTCAGTATATAAACTTGAAAACATGGTCCCTGATTTCCATCCTACAACATACTCAGTGAGGTCAAAGATTCATCTAGTCAATAGCAGATATCTAAAAAAAGAACAGAAAACCTGGACTAACTGATAATTTTATTAGCTACTCTTTGAATGGTCAGTGTTTTATGTCTGTCTCAAAAGCCTTCCAAAAGACAATCCTCAGCTTCACCAAAGATGACTGTCTACACTGAAATAATGGCTTCTAATAAGGAACATTTTAGGTTTTCTGACTGATCTACAAAATTCGAGCACAATGAAGCCAACAACATACTAGTATGTTATGACACAAGCCAACTGCCCAGATGAAGTGCCTCTACGCGAATGCACGCAGCATGGGAAACAAACAGGAAGAGCTGGAAGCTGTCCGTGCTGCTAGAAAGCTACAATCCGTTTGCCCTTACTGAAACTTGGTGGGATGAATCCCATGACTGGAGCGTGGCTGTCGACAGCTACAGGCTGTTTAGAAGGGACAGGCAGGGAAAGATCTACCTCAAGAAATCAATTCAGTGTGAAGAGCTGTCCCTGAAGGATAGCCATGCGCAGGTCGAAAGACTGTGGGTAAGAATCAGAGACAGAGGCAACAAAGGAAACCTGGTTGTGGGTGTCTACTACAGGCTCCAGATCAAGGGGAGCCTACTGACGAAGCCTTCTTCCTCCAGCTCCAGGAGACTTCGTGCTTGCAGTTTCTCGTCCTGCTGGGGTACTTCAGCCACCCCAACATCTGCTGGAAAAGTAGCACAGTGAGCAGAAGGCAATCCAGGAGATTCCTAGAATGCATCGAGGATAACTTATCAAGCCAGGTAATAGACAGCCCTACCCAGGGGGATGCCATATTGGACCTTAGGGTCACCAATGTAGGTGAGCTCATCAGTGATGTCAAGACTGGAGGCAGCCTGGGCTGCAGTGACCATGCATTGGTGGAGTTCACAGTCCTGAGGGATACGGGAAAGGCAAAGAGTATAGTCAGGACCCCAAATTTTACGAAAGCCAACTTCCAGCTCTTCAAGCAGCTAGTCAGTAGGACCCCTGGGAAACAGCCCTCAGGGGCAGGGGGACAGAACAGAGCTGACAGATCCTTAAGGACGCTTTCTGCAGAGCGCAGGTGCTGTCAGTCCCCAGGTGTAAGAAGTCAGGAAAGGAAGGGAAGAGACCAGCATGGCTGAGTCGAGACCTGCCAGTCAAACTAAAGGGCAAGAGGGAATTGCACAGGCAGTGGAAGCAGGGTCAAGTATCTTTGGAAGAATACAGGGATGCTACCCGGTTGTGTAGGGATGACATCAGGAGAGCCAAGCCGCAGCTGGAGCTGAACTTAGCAAGGGATACTAAGAATAACAAGAAGGGCTTCTACAGGTGTGTCAGGCAGAAAATGAAGGTTAAAGAAAGTATACCCTCCCTGATGAACAAGAATGGTGAACAAGTATCAACAGATGAGGAGAAGGCTGAGGTACTCTACAACTTTTTTGCCTCAGTCTTCATTGGCAACCTGTCTCCTTGTTCCTCCCCAGCTGATGAACTGCAAGATGGGGATCAAAGAGATAAAGTCCCTCCCACTGTAACGTTTGTGACCACTTGAGGAACCTGAACATACATAACTCTATAAGAGAGATGCATCCCAGAGTCCTGAGGGAACTGGCTGATGTCATTGCCAAGCCACTCTCCATGACATTTGAAAGGGCATGGC